GTTTTTTAAAATCCAATGTGTGGATCACATAATATTTCAAAATTTTTAACTTTTGAGTATAGATGATCCGCACTGTATATATATATCTAAACTGCAATTTACAGATTATTTTCACAATTTTACAAATTTGGATTTATTTTTATATATTGGATTCTTTATAAAGCAAGATCAGCATTAAAATTTTTGGCAAGTGGCGCAGCACGTGATGTCTTAGATGATTCGCACCATATTCATTCATCCATTCTATTTTGTTAAGAAACTGTGTTTGTTATTTTGATTAATATTAAAAATTAGCATTTTTTATCTTTAGATTTTCAAAAAGACTTTTTGTGAATAATGAAACAATTATTATTATGAATTATTTTGTTTATTTAGTGGTAACTAAGTATCTTTACATTTTCAAAAAGATATGTTGGCTTTTTTTTATGAAGAAATCAATTTTGTAGCAATCAAGTATCTTTACATTTTCAAAAAAGACATATTGACTTTTTTTGACAATAAAGAAATCAATTCTGTTTTTTTTAGTAGTGATCAAGTGCGGACCCGGACACTTTACCGACAACACACGACATGCTATTTTAGCATTTTGTTAGTTTGTTTGATTGTGTAGGAATTAAATGTAACCCTGTGAGTTGTCGGTAAAGTGTCTTGTCAGTAAAGTGGGTGTCAGTAAAGTGTCTCAGACCTGATCAAGTGCCTTTACAATAAATTTATTCAAATAATTAAAAAATCATAAAAAATTTTTTACATATGAAAAATTTCACTCATCTCTACATCCCCAAGAATAAAAAACTTTTTTTTTCAATATTCTTGAAAAAAAAATACATAAATGGGTTTTTTGACATTAGTTTCATGACACAAAATAAAAAAGTACCATTTTTTTATACAAAGTCATCAGTTAGCAAAATTTGTGATATTTTTCCTTCACAGATCCTTATGTAGAGTTCACCGATTCATAGATGGATTGTCAATTAAATCCCATTGCTTAAAAGTAAGTTTTCTCAAAAATGCCAAAGCCAAAGTTAACTGGTCCTTGCTCTATTCACAATTGTGATAAGAATTCTAACAATTTTAGATGTTTATCTGATAGAGCTATAGAAAAAGCAACCACCAAAGGAAATCTTCAAAAGATATCCTTATTTACAACAAGGTTAACAAGTTTGTTTTCCTCATTGTTGGAAATCCTCAATCTATAAAAGGAAGAAATTATTCAACATATCAACCCAATTGAAATAAATATCATACCAGCATTCTCAACATTATCTGACATAAATTTATTGTTTGGTGATAAAATAAAAAAAATGATTACAGTATTATACAGTAAGAGACATGATAGTCCTATATTCGATCCTGATGAGTTTAATAAAATGCTTAAAGATAATGATCCAAATTTAAAAGGATTTCCAATGAAGTATGTAATATATTAATACAGAAGACTGTTCATAATATAATAAAAAGGAGATAAAAAGAAAGTTGTTACAATTTTGTATTTGATGGCTGGAATCTGGAATAAACATGCTAATAATTTTAAATTAGAACTTGTCTTATATTTTATAGGACCAGGAACATCTTGTGATAGAATTGATCCACTGGGTAATTCTGGAGTTTCAGTTACTTATAAAACTGTATATAATTATAAGAAGAAAATTGCAGAAGAACATCCATTAAGAGTAAAAAATACTTTAATGAAAATAAAAATAATCTTTGTATATACAACCTGGATGATTATCACAACATTCATGAAAAAAGACATCCAAATCACACTACTCTGTCAGAAACAGTACATTTAGCAACAAGTATAAGTAAAAAAATTGAAGGATCCATGCCTGTGCCAATTATGTATAACAATGCATCTGACCATAACCCTAATAATATTGATCCTTCACTTATTTGTGATAAACTTATTAAAGAGCATCAGCGTTACTTTGATCTTTCATATATACAACAAAAAGCTCAATGGATAAATAATACAGGACAACTTACATTTGACAGAATAGATCAGATTACCATACATTGTTATGATAATGCTATTGCAGAAAGAAAAAGAAGAACATAAAATGAAAGTAACAATTCTAATAGGAATGTCTGAACTAAGGTTTCTGGCTGAACCTCTCTTTATTAGTAGCCAAAATTGCCAAAACACTTTGGGCAAAAATAAATTTTTTATAAGCCCAAACTATATTTTGTTATTAGCCGAAATTGCTTAAAGTTGTTTAAGTTAAAATAAGTTGATTGGTATAGCTTTTTAATGTTCACGTTTATAAAAAATGCTGAGAAGCCCAAATTGCCCAAACTAGTTTGGGCTTTGAGAAAACAGTTTGGACTGGAAACTTTAATCTGAACAGCAACTTCCTTCTATACAAGATTACCCTCAAAGCATTATATTAAATGGGGCATACTGTAACAAAACCAGACAAAGTGAACATTTATATTACCAAGAATTTCAGGGATCAAAATTTAGTCATTTGTAATGTGATCATAACTAAAAGTTTTATAATGTCTTATTTGTTAAGTGATATACATATATAATTATCTGTAAAAATAGTTAATATGAAACTCATTTATATCAGATCTACCATGGAACTTAATGATTATAATACCATTAGAAGTATTTTGAAGCCTTACATTTTCAAAATAAATGATACTCAAACACTTAAGCTTATCTAAGAAAAGAAAGGTTTATCTATGAAATTTACCAAGAAAGAAAAATCATGACTAATAAAAAAACATCAACACAAGATCACTAAGAACCTAGAAAGAAAAGAAAATTAGAAGAATAAAATTGATTGAAAAATATTTCTAGAAAAGGACAGGGTAAGGTTGCTTGCCAAAACCTCTTAATGACTGCTGAAACTCTGCTGGAACTCTGCTGGAACTCTAATAAACAATTAGTGTGTAACCTGCCAAAACTCTGCTAATTGTCGAAATCCATAAATGTGAAACCCTGCCAAAACTCTAACAAACAATTAGTGTGTTACCTGCTGAAACTCTGCCAATTTGATTTCCGGAGGAGTTTTGGCAAGCAGCCATAGGACAGGGATGGTTCAAGCCATATATGCCTGTCATCCATCCTTTTTCAGTATCCCTTTTCAAAGAGTCATCATACTATGTTTCTTTTAATCTAGTTGTTGTGTAAATTGACTTTGGCTAGGGTTAAAGGGTTGGTCAAACTACCTCATACAGTATACTGAAATTGCTGAAATTATTTGGCCTAAACTTGGGCCAAACTAAATTTTAATAGTGGCCAAGATTGGATGAAATTATTTTTAAGTTTTTAAACCAAAGTAAATTAATTTGGATGATTAGAAAATGTTTTTATGTAAATATAGCAATAATAGTGAAATAACAAATAAGGATTATGAATAAAGCTATTTGAGAGATTTGAATTTTGAAATAAAATCAATAATCATGAGTAATAATATAATTGGAAGGTTTAGTACATTATCTCTATTAATAGAAATTAAATATTATGCTTATTTATTTATTTCTTCCCTTCTGTCTTTTTTGCTATTGTCACTAACTATTAAAGTAAAGAAAAAAATAATTCAATGTCAAAATTTAAGTTTATATAAATGTACAATAAATTCTACATACCTGAGGTTTGGGTGGTGTTGGTACTTCTACAATTGATATATGGTCAGTGATATGACTTTTTATTAGTGTTGAGGATGTTGAGATTTTCTTAGATGCTGATTTTTATTGCATAATCAATTGCTGAGGTAAAAATTGTTTTAGCATTGATGATGATTTGCTAAAGTACAAATAAAGAGAGTATGTCAATTATAAATAATACATTGTGTGAGACAAAAAATCACACTTGTCTCAACAAACATGAACATTCTACATGCTCTAGAAATATTAATTAGGCTAGGTTTGTAAAGTACAGCTATCAACTTCATCAAATACCCATACACCATTGCCAAGATAATAAATCACATGTACTTTGATTGTATATTCAACTATATATAATCCAACAATAGGTATTGTTTTCAATGCTGAATGCAGGTTGTCATCAAGCATTCCTCCAGCAGCAGTATTAATAGCAACGGCACATACTGAATGTTGGACACAGATTACTTTCACTACTTTTATAAAATCAGATATGGATTTATCATAATGAGGCTTAGAATCTTGACCAGAGTTTTCAGCTGTACCAAATTCATAACCTTGTGCTGCTGTAGCATCTCATAACTTATATACCTTAAAAAAAAAAAACAATAAAATACCTTAAACAAAATAATTCAAAAATTCTTGTTTTTTTTTATACTTACTGAAAAGATATAATCACCATACTGTCCAATTTCTGATTCATGTGACCTTCTTCAATGATATCTGGAGGTAGATGATGTTAGTTCACCACTTTAAATATATAGACAGTAAATAGAGGTGAAAAATAATATATAAAATATAGTCATTGAAAGAGGTTTGCTTACTAGTGATGCTCAGCTTCATTTCTTAAAATATCCATAAATTGTTTTAAAAAATGTATGTCTAAACTCCTCTCATCACATGCTGGTACACTAATCCTCGCATTTTTTTGAGATTATTTATTTAATTTACCAAGAAGTTGAAACCAAAACTTAAAAACATTTCGAAAATACACATACCATTCTTCAATCCAGGGTTGGCAAATTGATTGGTCCATTGCCATTAATAAATTAATAAATATGGCTAAAGTGTTACATTATGGATCACTAATGGACCATACATTTGCCAATCCTGCTTCAATTACTTGAAATATCCATCTAATTTTTGCATCAGAAGCATGAGTTTCTGCCAATAAAATAGCATCTTCAAATGGCTTATCATTATTCTCTACATTAAAACTATCTAATTCTCTTGTCTCTTCCAGGAGATCAGTTGGTATCATTTTATAAGTTTCACATGTCCATAGTTATCATTTCCATCTGGTAAGATAAATTTCTCCTCTTTAACATTTTCTTTATTATTTACACTAAATTAACATTAATATTGTATATATTAACTAGAGTGATGATGAGTGGCAATAGCCACCACCACCATTCTTTTGATAAACACTTGCCTGTTTTCAAATATTTCAATAACTTCTTGATTTCTTTTTCTTTGAGTTCTATTGGACACTATTTTTTATTTTTAATTTTAAAAAAGAAAGACTTCAAAAGAATATTATTATTATTATTGGCACTTGGGGTTGTACAAAGGTATTTTTATGCAAATTTATTTTTTTTGGAAAACAATCTATTTTACTTAGTGTCCATTAGAGAGAGTGAACTGAGCTTGTTTATTTTTTTTTTGTTTGCTAAAGGGTGTTGTAGAAGAAAAGGACAATGTTATATTAAATATTTTATATTAATTAATAATTTTCCTATATATTACTGCTATATATAATAATAATGTCATTATGGCTAATATTTTAATGATCAGCAGTTGAAAAAATATCTACTGTATCACAGTAAAATTCGTGTTACATATGTAAACTTGATAAGTCGGTTTTAGCCTAACTCGGCCAAAAATTTTCGCCCGTTTTTTTACTATTTAAAAAAATTCGATAAGTCAGTCAATCTATATAAAGTCGCAATAAGTGCTAAGTCAGTCAATCACTTAGCCCAAGTATAATTAAATGAATCGCGATAAGTCGGTCTCACGTGATATCTCATTATGTAAAGGGTCA